TGAGGAGCACTCAACCACTGAGCCACATCCCCAGCCCTATTTTGTATTTGATTTAGAGACAGGGTCTCACTGAGTTGCTTAGTGCCTTGCCATTGCTGAGGCTGGCTTTGAACCCACCATCCTCCTATTTTTTTTTTTTTTTAGTTGTTGAGGACTTTTATTTTATTTTATTTTATTTTATTTTATTTTTTTTAGAGAGAGAGAGAGAGAGAGAGAGAGAGAAAGAGAGAATTTTTTAATATTTATTTTTTAGTTTTCGGCGGACACAACATCTTTCTTTGTATGTGGTGCTGAGGATCGAACCCGGGCCACACGCATGCCAGACGAGCACGCTACCGCTTGAGCCACATCCCCAGCCCGAGGACCTTTATTTTTATTTATTTATTTATATATGGTGCTGGGAATTGAACCCAGTGCTCACTCATGCTAGGCAAGCGCTCTACCACTGAGCCACAACCCCAACCCTCCTTTATTTTTTGAGACATATTTTGCCTTGTTAGCATTTTTGAATTTTGTGTTTTGTGCTTTTGCATCCCATTATTTTCACAATATACCTGTCTGTGCCTCCTATACTTACACAACCATTGTTTTTTTTTTTTTCAACTTTCAGTGCAGTGTTCAATAAATGAGATATTCAGTACTTTATTATGAAATAGAATTTGTGTTAGGTGATTTTGACCAATTATGGGCTAATGTAAGTGTTCTGAGCACATTTAAGGTGGAATTGGCTAAGTTCTAATATTTATTAGGTTAGTATATTAGACGTATTTTCAACTTATGATATTTCTAAAAATTCATGATGGTTTTATTGGGAACATCTGTAAAAGTTTTCCTAATTCACAATTTTGTCTACAAACCAGTCCCACAAAATAAGCCACCTATGCAAATCATTGTTACTTTATTAATTTTCTCTGTCCTTTATTAGGAGAGTCATGTGAAATGACTGGGTTGAGTTCAAAATTTTTTTTACAATAATGCATTTTGCTTTGTAAATATGCTTTTTTAAAAGTATCTCTCTAAATTGTGATTATGGAATTTTTGCTATTTCATGAAATGAAATCCTGCATATACTTTATCTAGATGACATAAGAATGAAAAATTAGCTAAAGCCCTAAGTAGTTCTGCATAAATTACAATAAAGCCAAGTTATTTCCTTAATATATTTAGAAAAGTGATTTTTAAACTTAAAATAGAACAAAATTCCTATCGCATTTTTATCTTAGACTTTTAACATTACATTTTTGACAACTCATTATAATTTTTAATTTCTTTTACTAGATGAATAGAATTTGCAATCTGGATGAAATTGAAAAGGTCATGCAGTCTGGCTTGCAAAATTTTGATAATAAACCCAGAGAGATTAGGATCCTTGCTCAAGCTTGCTAACAACAGAAACAGGGTAAGAATATAAACTTCAAAATATTTATTTAGTGCCTTTTCAAACATCCAATAATCAAGTTATTGGTTGCTGAACTGCCTTCATTTCTCTAGTGCGATCAGCCACGAGGAACAAACTACTCTATAGAGATACAGACTCAAGCAAGGGACTGTGTGTGTGTATGTGTGTTGAGACCCAGGACCTCACACCTCACACATGCTTGGCAAGTGCTCTACTACTGAGCTACATCCCCAGCCCTTCTTGTTTTATTTTTATTTTGAGACCTGGGCTGGCTTCAAACTTGTAATCCTCTTGCCTCAGTCTCCTGCGTAGTTGGGATGTTCCTACAAGGAAATCCTCACAGAACTGCTCCTAACTTTCCGATCTAGTGAATCACTAGAACAAAAGCATCCACTAATCAAATTACATTATCAATATTGCAGCAATTGCCCTATGGTCCATTTGGTTTTTGTTTGTTTACTTTTTGTTTTTTCAGTACTGGGGATTGAACCCAGGAGTGCTTTAGCACTGAGCTACATCCCTAATCCTTTTTATTTTTTATTTTGAGGTAGGGTCTCGCTAAATTGCTGAGGCTGGCTTGAAATTTGTGATCCTTGTGCTTCATCCTCCCAAGTAGCTGGTATCTTAAGCATGTGCTACCACACCCAGCTCCAGTATTTGTTCGTTTCTTTCTTTCTTTTTGGAAGTGAATGGAGTAGGATTTATTTCCAGTGGTCCTTCTGTGGATCCTTCAGTGTTCTTAGTTTCCCATATTTCCTCCTTTTGACTATCAAGCCCAGTGGCTAATTTTGTCCTCCATGTCTCAGGCCTTTCCTCAGACTCAAACACAGCTTATATATGTCCTGATTTTACTTCTTACTAGAAATGGAAGTTGGGGCATTTGGTAAAATGAGGAAGAATTGCCTCATCTCAACCTAATTGTCTTACTGTGGAAATTTCAAAAAATACCATTATGAGATATAACATAACAATTCATTAGTATCATTTAAGATCCATTCTGTTTCATTTTCTCCAGTTGTCTCAAAAACAGTTTGAAACTGAATCCAAAAAAGCTTAACCTATTGCATTTACTATTTAAGAATCTTTTACCACAAATGATGCTGTTAAGATTATTCTGTAAAGATATGGAAAACTTTAACCTCATTATTGTTGAACTGTTTTCCAAAGTGATTTCTATCGATGTGACTCCTATACAGCTTGTGAGCAATTCACTTTCTCTTCCACTTCTGAAATTGTCTGACATTTTAACATTTGCCTATTTGATCACAAGCCCACTCTGTAAAGAAATGTGATGTGAATCTAGTCTTCATGTTGCACACTCAAGTGATTTATTTATTTATTTGGGAACCGGGGATTGAACCTGGGGTGTTTTGCCACTAAGCTACATCCCCAGACCTTCTTATTTTTAATTTTGAGACAAGATTTCGCTAAATTGCTGAGGCTGGTCATGAACTTGTAGTCCTCCTGCCTCAGCCTCCCCAGCCTTGGATTATAGGCATTTGCCACCACAGCTTGCAACTGTTTCAGATATAACAGTTCATGCTTAGTTAACATAATAATACACCTCTACACTATCCAAAAGTTACTACTTTAGTTCCCAAGTATGCCAGGATCTATTATATATTTTTGTTTTGGAACTGAGACTCAAGCCCAGGACCTTGAATATGCTAGGAATGTGCTTTACTATTGGACTACATTCCCACCCCTCTATTATATTTTAATGAAAGAGTGAAAAATATAGGTAATTTTGTGCTGTTTAGTATTTCATTCATGACTGATAATTGACTTTTTCCTCCTGTAAAGATCCTTTCAATATATATGAAACCCAAGGGACCAAACATTAGTTTTACTGTGAGCAATGTCAGAATTCCTGCAACCACTTTTCTTTTTTCTTAGCGTCTGCCCTGGCAGGCTATTTGCTCTGATGATGCCATAATGCTTTGTTTGTGGGATCATCTGGTGTCACTTACTCCTTTAGGTAGAATCAACTTTTAAGCAAAGCGACTCTTAGGATGGTAAGCTTGATCTTCTGGAACAATTTTCTGAGTTTATAGGGATGAAGATCCTTAAAATAAAATTAAAAAAAAATCTAGAAACTTTTTCCTAATCTTACCTCTTTCATTGGGATATATGGGTTTTACTCACTGTTGTAATGTTGACAACACAACTGGACTAACATTTGGTATGCTTCTGGTTGATTTCTGGTTGCCAAAAGCATTCAAATTTCCTCAAGGACAGTCATTGTGTACAAAAAGGGGGAAATCAGTTCATTTCTGGCAAAGACTGCAATTCAGAGAGGAAGAGTATACCAATATAACTTCTCTAGTGAGGAAGAACAGTGTGTCTAATATTATACCATGGAATAACTGGCATATTTTAAAGATCTTTTTCCTTTTTGAACACATTTCACATTATGGATGTTCCCAGAGAACATAATGATCTATCTTAAGAGTGTGAAGAATGATATCCTACATTGCCTATATTTATATCTTAGAGAAATGTCTAAAAAGAAAGCCAAATGAATAAAATGACAGATATACAGATATGACAGATTTTAAGCTTTCCTTCTGGTAAAGCAAAATCTTCTACCCAGTGTGTTACCCACCTTGATTTTTTTTTTTTTAAAGAGAGAGAACATGAGGTGCAAGATTTTGGTTTCCACCTTCCTTTTATAAACCAATGACATCTTCAGTCCTGGAAGAGCTTTTAAAGATGTGGCTTTTGATAAATGTTGGCAGAACTGGTGCATTCTTAGGATTCTCTATGCTCAGCTTTTCCTACCCAAATTCATCTGTAGTTTGTGGTGGGCCACCAAACTTTCCACCACCAAACTGCCCACCACGAAAAAGGCTGAAGACACCTGGATATGATAAAAGATATGTGTATATTATAACGTGAAGCTGGTATATATATATATTTTTAAAAAACATGCCTGGGGTAAAATCTCTATTAAATTTCGAATGCCATTAACACCTATTTATGATACACAAGAAGTTTCGTTGGCATAAGGGAGCGGAAATAAAAAATCAAAGAAAAACTTTAAAAAAAATCTCTCTTTTCAGACAAGTTTCAGCTCTACAAATCTAAAAGCCCATGCCTTTAAAATACCAGTGTCGTTCTGCTCTCAATTATCATCCCGTTGTACAAGGAAAAGTGGGTCTCTCTTCCCCGAATAAGGAATATGAGATTTCCAAGTCCGCGTGGAACAGAAAGAAGCCCCGGAAGTTTTTTTATGGTCCCGAGGGACAAAACTATCAAAGTGGGCTTGGTGTGAAAACCACACACTTGGTGTGAAAAACACACCCGAAATAAAAATCTGTAAACACACCTTATAGTTGGAAGAACAAAATGAAACAGAAATAAACCGCATGGATCCAGACGCATCAGGATCTCGCAGTACAGACGGAAAAACTAACTATGTTCGGGTTAAAAGCGGAGCGGCGACTCTTAACTCAGGGGCGGGCTGGGATCCGGGGTACTCACAGCGCCTTTTGCCGCGCCCCTGCCCCTCCCCCGGGCGCCCTTGCACGCCAGCCAATCCCCTTGCGCCATCCCCTTCCCATCAGAGGCCCCGCCCCCCGCGCCCGGGATGTTAGGCCCCCGCGGCGTGACGCGAGCACGGCAGCTCCGCCCCCTGCGTCTCTGGCCTCGCTGGCCTTTGGGGGATGGTTCCATCATGGCGTCAATGCAGGTGAGAAGAGTTTGCTGCATCTGGGCGGGTGAGGGAGCTGCCGAAAGGGTGTGAGCGTTCTCGCGGGGGCGGCGTCTGAGACTTCGGGACCCAAGGGCGGGCTCCGGAGCCGTCCAAATGACTGGTCTTCTCCTAGCTTCAGGGCGTCGTGGAGGGGTGAGAGGCGGCGAGAGGAAGGGCGCGGGGGTGGGGGGGCGGTGTTTCGGTCGGTCGAAGCGGACACCAGCCGGCCGGGAAGTTGGGGGATAAAGAAGGCTTAGGAGGAAGAAAGGGCGAAGTTTGGTGTTGGCTCCGCGATGGTGGTCTTGGAATCGCCGCCCTGCACTCCTAGAGTGCCGCTGCTGGCCTTTCTGTCAGCTCCAGGGATGCCTTTTCTTCCGCCGTGCCCGGCCCGGCGGAAACAGCTGCGCCCGCCGTTGTCGCCCGGGCAGGGGCGGCCCTCAGAGGGGCTGAGTTGAGTGTGGGGGAGCTTGAAAAGGCGTTCCCAGAGAAGGCGCTTAGCGGCCTCTGCCCAGCCTCCCAAACCTGTCCTCCCAAACTGCTCGGCCCCTTCTTTCTCTTCCCTTAGACTCTTAATCATTTGCCCAGTGGGTACCTTCTGTTAGTCTCGGCACTCGTGAGCAATCCTGCAGCAGCCCTCCCCCCCTCGCCTTCCGAATAAACTCCTAGGCCACGTACATCATTTGCCACCTAAGGTGCGAGCTCTGGAGGTTGGTCACTAACCCCCTTAAACCTCTAGAGATAACTCGCCCTCTGATGTTTTTTTCCCCACAATGCCCCACCCTTGCGGTCGCGGTAAGGGAGTAGCTCTTTGCCCTTCTTCCCCACACCTTTAAATGGAACCTTAATTTGGTGGAAGACGTTTGTTATCTACCTGACTGGTCTTCTGGCTTTCCATCTTAATTTGTCCCCCGGTGTCGTCCCCCGCCCCGCGCCCTAGTCCAGGGAGTTTGTTTTTTCAGGCAAAGATGGCAACCACAGTTGTAGTTTTTCCTGCATTATCTATTCTGCATTTAATTCACAAATAAGACTAGCGGTATTTGAAACATGTGAGAAGAGAAGGTACAACTCTCCTTAGGAGTGTCAGCTGAATGCCGTTTAGAGTTTTAATACCATCCTCTTAAGAAAAGAGAATACATTTTTACTAAAAGGATTTTCTTGCTTTTGTTTTAGAAGAATAAGCAAGTGTCTGTCCCCTCCATTTTTTCCCCTATGCTAAAAGTGTTTTTCTTTCTTCATTTTCTTCCTCTTTTATTCAATACATATAATTTTTGCTTCATATTTACTTCTGTGCTTTTATGTTGTCTGTCCTATTTCTACGTGTTCTTTATGATATTCTCTTTACCTTTGCTTCTCTTTGGACTTTCCTGAAGAACAATAAAATTTCGCAAAACATTACTAGTTGAAGAGATGTCACGAAGTGGTGCAGAGAAAAACAAGAACAATTTCAGGAAACATTATATTTCACACTAACCTCCCCTGAGATGTTAGAGAAGTTTCGTCATTTGAGGCCTAAAAAGGAACTGTAGAACACCAGTTGAACAATAGTAGATGGCTATATTATCGCTTTAAGATTTTTATCTGTATTGAGATTAAAACATTATTTGTTATGACCAGCTGAACATTATTTGTATTAAGATAAAATTATTTAAGACTAAAAATTAAGATCTAAATATATACTTGTGAGATACCTAGGGATGATTGAACCCATAACCTGGCAAATGCTCTACTGCTTGAACTTTGTCTCAAGCTCTTTTTAATTTATTTTGAGGCAGGATCTAAATTAGCCAGGGTGGACTCACCTGGAATTTGTAATCCTCCTGCCCCAACCTCTAGAGTGTTGGGATTATAAGCAATTGCCGCTACACCTGCTTTGTGATTATATTTGATATGAGAACAGGGTTACCTGGTTAGATTTATATTTCAAGTATTTGGAAGGCAGATTTGTTTTTAAGAGAGATGCCGATAGTCTTAACTTTTACATGGTGACTTAAGCAGTGAAAAAAATATTCGACATTGCAATAGTGCATTTTCCTGTGCCTTAAGTACTACCTCAGAACAAAATATTTAAGTTAATTGTAAATTAGAAAGTGATAGTGTTGTGGAGAAGAATCATGGAATGAAGTTAGAAAGTCAGTATTTGAGTGATTTTGGTTGGGAAAAAGTATGCTATAACACAGAATGCTGCTCTGCTGATGCCCTTATTTAAAAAGCTTTTTTCCACCAGAACTGGTGCTAGAATCCAGGGCCTTGAGCATGCTCGACAAGCATTCTACCTTGGAGCTACATCCCTAGCCTGTAAATTTTTAAAATTTTACATTAGGATATTACTGCTGCTGAAGAAGTAAAGAAAAAGTGACTTATAAAGCTGCAAGGGCTTCTTTTTATTTTTTATTTTGTAACACAGTCTTATTAAATTGCTTGGAGCCTTGGCAAGTTGCTGAGTCTGGCCTGGAATTTGCAATCCTGCATCAGCCTCCCAAGTTGCTAGGATTACAGGTGTGCACCACCATGCCCTGCTGGAGGAATTGTATTTTTAAAACTTGCCATATTGGGACTGGAGTTGTGGCTCAGTGGTAGAGTGTTTGCCTAGCATGTGTGAGGCCCTGGATTCCATCCTTAGCACCACATATAAATAAATAAAAGATCCATTGACAACTAAAAAATATTTTTTAAAAAAACATGCCATATTATACAAATATAATGTGGGATTTGATTACTTGATAAATGAAATTAATGTTTAGGATCAATGCAATAAAATCAAGTAAGGATAAACAATTTTTTACTGGAGAGTATGTATTTTAGAATTGAAATTGTAGCTACTTTAAGGTAGTCTGTCAGTGCTTCTCAATCTTTCAGGTTATGCCACATTTAGGAAATTTTTTTTTAGTAGTACACTAAGGTGGATGAGGTTATTGAAGCCTAGAAGCACCTGGCTAGGCAACTCTGTGACCATTGGTGGGTGATTAATATTCTAGTACACTTACAAGGTTAGGGAAGCTCTGTTATATGACTGAAAATCTTCAATTTGCAGTTCAAGATAATGATTTCCCCACTTATTTGGGCTCCTAGAGGCATTCTTTCCTGATTTTTTTTCCTTTTATTTCTTCCTGGAACAGAGTCACATTGCCAAAGAACCATTCTTTTTTCTTTTTCTTTTAAAATATGTGCTTTTTAGTTGTAGTTGGATATAATACCTTTATTTTATTTATTTATTTTTATGTGATGCTGAGGATCTAACCCAGGGCCTTGGACGTTCTAAGCGAAGGGTCCACCACTGAGCCAAAACCCCAGCCCAAGAAACCATTCTTATTTATTTATACTAGGGCTTGAATCTTGGGTATTTTACCACTGAGCTACATCACCAGTCCTTTATTTATTTTGAGGCAGAGTCTCACTAAATTGAAGAGGATAACCTTGCCCTTGTGATCTTCCTACCTCAGCTTTTGAGTCACTAGGTTTATAGGCATGTGCCACTGCACCTGGCAAAAAAGCATTCCTTTTTTTTTTGAAGTTGGAGGTTGAACCCAGGGATCCTTTGCCACTGAGCTCTATCTCCAGTTCTTTTTATTTATTTTTTATTTTCATTTTTAATTTTTGGTATTGGGGTTTGAACTTAGGGAAGACTTTACCACCCAGCTACATCTTCAGTGCTTTATATTTTTTATTTTGATACAGGTTCTTGATAAATTGCCTAGGGCCTTGCTAAGTTGCTGAGGCTGGTCTTGAACTTACAGTCCTCTTGCCTCAGCCTGCCAAATTGCTGGAATTACAGGTGTGTATCATCATGCCTAAGAAACCATTCTTTGTTTTTTTTTTTGATGTGGGGCGGGGTGTGCCAGGGATTTAACCCAGAGTCACATTCCAGCCCTTTTTTAAAATTTATTTATTTATTGAGACAGGGTCTTGCTAATTTACTGAGGCTGGCTTTGAACTTGCAATCCTCCTGCCTCAGCCTCCTGAGTCATTGGGATTAAAGGCATGTGGGATTAAAGGCACTGCACCTGGCTAAAGAAATAATTTTTAATTCTTGGTGATACTTAAAATTGGCAAGAGTAAAAGGAATCTACATTTAATTTTTGTTAATTCTAGAAATCTTAAAATATTAAATGAAAAGTACTTTATAACACATCTTTAGTTGTACTACTTTACAGTTTCTGATTATTTGGTACAAATTTTCCATCCCCAACTGTAAAGGCAATTATTAAAGTGAATTTTAATTAGTTTTTTCAGTGCTGGTAATTGAACTCAGGGCCTCATGTATGCTAGGCAAGCCTTTTTTATTTTATTTTGGGACAGTGACCTTGAACTTGTGATCCTCCTGCCTTAACCTCCTGAGTCTTATGGGATTACAGGTGTATGTTACCAGGTCTAGCTGTATTTTCCAATTTTAGAGTTTAGCTGCTTCATTCAGACTTCTCTTTAGTTAGAAGTTTTAAAGTATACCTGGTATATTTTTCTAATTTGATGCTATTCATTTTAGATATAGACTCTTCTTATGTTATGTCTTAAGATCTTGGAAAGTCATTGAATAAGAATTGATGCTAACTCTAAAAAAGTAGTGATATATTTGAGATAAATAATTCAAATTGAATTACTTGTGAGTTTTCTGCATTTTCTTCCTCTTACCTAGCTGGGTCTTATTAGATTGTTGGAAGGAGATTGAGATTAAGTAACAGGAGATAGAGTATAAATGTGTGTTTATTGTCAGAAGGTTTAGAAATAATGATTTGGAGTTATTCACAGCTCTATGTTGTTCTTTATGCAAGTAATTGGATGTAGTGAATCAAAAATTAGAAAATTGACTTGTCATTTTGGATCCTGAGTCTCATTAAGCATTGAGAACTTGCATCTTAATATCTGAGGTTTGTTGGATTCTTTAGTCATAAGCCCCCCCCCCCCCAGCTGTTGGAGTAGGAGCCAAGGGAAAAGGGAAAAAGCATAGAAAGAATTGAGGATGTTCTTTGAATGCTAAATGTAAGTAGATAGTAGACCATATG